CAGATTTGAGCCTTTAGGTAATATATTTAACTGAAGTAATGGAGCTTTTTCTTCGGCATTCAATGTTAAAAGGTATACTCTTATAAGTCTTCCATCTCTAAAATATGATAATGGTTCGCTCCATAATATTGGAATAACATTTCTACACCATTGACGGTTTACAAGAAGACATGAAAATAAAAATCTATAATAAATTTTAAGGTTATTCAATATTTCGGAAAGGCACTCATTCGGCAGTGATATCATTTTGGTAAAATCAAGAAAAATAGAATCGCTACAGAAAAATCAATTTACATACAAATAAGTATTGTAACACTATTAAAAATTTTAATCAATGCAGCAACGCACCTGAATACGAATTTTTTCAAAAAGTCGGACGAAACTCTTAAAAAGGAAATAGCCAATCAGAGAGTGAAATTTTTACAGAATCCATACACGTGTAAAAGAAGAAAAAATCACAACTAGTGTTTAAATCGACCTTGCGCAAAAATAAGTAAATCCGGCAAAATCAGTTATTTTCATGGACTTGGGGATTTTGTGATTTACTACGATATTAAAGAATAAATATTTATAGACTTTATAAACGTAAAATTCCTTAAAAATACCGTAAATCGCAAAAACCTCACGTCCCCAGTTCTTTTACACACTTCATTAACCGGTAACTAACTCCAGACACCCGATTTGTCACGCATCATGTGTGTTGTTATGCAAACCCGACTCCGAGACCTTGGAAAAGCATCGCCCTGAAACGCCTTACGAAAAACTGTCAATGCCGTAACCTAGAGTAACTTGAATTTTTTTAACGTTCGTGTTCTAAACATAGATTTACTGACGACTCAATGGTCAATCAGTGTTTTATAAACACATAACATTGTTTATTCAGTAATTGATATCTAAAAATAAATATGTTTTACAGACAAATAATAGCCATTTTCTCAAAACGGAAAACCCCCTTCAAAGGCGGGTTTTCCTAGTCCACAACCCATATTGTTTAATTTTTTACCGAGCTGATGAAATGCTAATCAAAGACTGCAACAAGAACTGGAGGATTATTTCGAAAGTTAATTGGACTAAATCTAAACTAGTAACGTAACTTAAAAATATCATAGTTAACTTTATTACATTAATATTATTAAACTCTAGTGAGAATTTACCCATTTGATTAAATTATTAATATAATTGTAAAAACTTAAATATGGTTTTGGATCTTTAAATTCAAAATATTATTTGTTAATTTATATGATGAATATAACAACTACTAAATAAAGTATTTTTAAAACATGCTTATATTTATTATTTACAGTCATTACTCTTGGGACATCTGGTAAAAAATTAACCGAAAGAATATTTGTCGATTTGGTAAGTTTTTGATTTCAGCCGTGATAAACTTTTGATTTGAATGTAATTGGTAATTTAACATTAATTATATATATCAATATTTTTTGCATCCGAAATGGAGTTTTCATTTGAACGTATGTCCAGCATGCTTGGTGTGTTGTGTCGTTTTTGCTATCAACAAATCTTGACAAAAAATATAACAAAGGTTTCGAATACAAGACATTACGCGAGCAGGGGCTAATGAAGAAGTTCAATAAGAATAAAAATTGGTTACTGGTTTAAAAAAAAAAAAAAAGTATAAAGCAAGATATTATTCCAAACAATCGAGATTTTATTGATCTTTATCGAAAAATAAATATTTTATTAAAAGTTTTATTGTATAACGATTATTATAAAATATAAGTCAAAAAGAAAACTAGTAAGAATTATGTGAGAATATTGAAACAATGAATTTGATGACTAATGAACTTGGGTTCTCAATTCTATTTTGTATCGGATACAATCTTTAACAAATTATACTGATTGTGACTGATACAAATATAATTGAAAGCCCATGATAGGTTTTCCATGACAACACTCAACACTAATTATTACTTGCGGCTCTTATTGTAAGGTCTAACTAATACTTACAAGCTTTCCCTGCACAGCACTCATATAATTATTGTCATTTAGCAAGGATGTATACATTATTACATAATCGATAATTACCGAAATCAAAAATTTATCGAATCGGTCAAACATAGAGATGGGCAAGGTAATTTACTTATTACATAAAAAGTTAAATCACACTACGTATGCGATAATTTAGCATGTTATTAGTTGTAAGTATATATCATTAGTAAATTATCGCATGATTTTTTCGTAATAAGTAATTACTTTGACCATCTCTAGTCAAACAATTATTCCAAAAATAATGAAAACAGCAATCATTAACAACTCGTTTTATTGAGCATGGCGGGCTTTCATTCCGATTGGCTAATTTTTGTAGATCATCCCGTGATATTGCCAAAATATCATTGGTTAATCGAAATTATTCGCAAGACATCATTTTATACGATTAAATATTTAATATGTATGGAATTAAATTGATATTAATAAATACATTTCTATGAAATCTAACAAAGCAAAGTCTAAATCATAGTCCGATACAAATAGAGTCAAGTCATATAATGCAAGATCTTATTAAAATAAAAAACAAAAACCACAAAAAAAATTCAAATATGAAACATTTATTTTAAGAAACAATAAAGCTATATAAACAAATTTTTTAATTGTATATGAGTGCCGCCAAGTAAAAACCAGGACTTCTAAAAATGGACTTTACATAACGGAATGCGAACTCACATATTCGTATCGTTTAAAGTCCGCATTCCGTTGTCTAAAGAATCTTATTTTTAGAAGTCTTGGTTTTCAGTTGGCGGCACCCATATAATAACAGTTAATTAATGCCAAACGAATTTGATCTTAATTCTAAGTTAATAATTTTAGCCGCATTACTGTGCTTTAATAATCTTAAACGTAATACTAAGGTTTAATCTCATATAAAGTTTACAAACTTATGTTTTCATTGCCTCATGTTACTAAGCTATTTTACTGGCAGTATACGTGTAAAGTAAATTAGCGATGTAAACCTTTTGACATTCTGTCATTTTACCAAGTTTAATCTACTGTAAGTTATATTGGCTAAATTGATACGTCTAGACATACCTCTCATCTAACTTCAGAATTACTTCGTTAATTACCAAATTAATTTATTATATTGTAGAGCCGAAGGCGTAGTTTCTAAATTTCTATACTAATAACCCCTGAGGTATTGTGCGGTTCTGTTTTTGTGAATGAGAAACGTTACCGTTACGCTAATATGTAGAACATATTGTGTAACATTTCTGGCGATCATCCAATCAAATTTTAAAGCCCGCTATGCTAATTATGGGAGGAAGCATATGAGAACAAGGAGCGAATAGCCAGCCATTATAATATGATTTCAACTTTCAGTAATGCATTTGATATTTTAATGATGCTTCCAACATTCAGCAGCACTTTTATTTCCTGCTTTGGCACGTTTTTTCTTGATACATGTCATTCGGTTATACAACATCTGGATATATCGACATCAGCCATTTTTTAAAAATTTGAAATTATATACTTAATATTAAAGTACCTCTGGTTAAGCTGACATTTGGATATATCGGACAATTTAGTGATTTTTTTGAGGTGTCGATATAACCGGAGTGACGTGTATTAAGTATTTTGATAAACATCAACTTCCTTTTTATATTTTCGTATAATAGATTTATTGAAAAAAAACTTGAGCACTTTCAGCATTATTGCGAATGACAAACGTACTAATCATTTCTTGTATAAATTACACAAGTAAGTCACCAGTACGTTACGTGATATTAAAATGCAAAGCCTCATATCGATACGTAGATCTAACTTTCAAATTTGTAAATCATTTGGCCTAGACGCAATGATCTGTATTAAGCTAGTTTTAAAGTCTGCGCTAAGTTAGGATTGGTTTGGAGTTAGAAAATAAAACTATACAAAAATGTGAGAGAATTTTTTTGTCAAAGCACAAAAGAACAGTTTCATTGACAAAATTTTTAGAAAACTCTTCATAAATATGGTCGATCATGACGAACAAAACCTGCCACAGATCCAAAGAACCTTCTATTATAAAGCGATAGATGTAGATGAATTACGTCAGAAATAATCGATATTTGAGAGGTTATGTATAAATTGCTTGTCTGTTTCCTTATTTCTTTTACGTTTTATTAAACATTTTAAAACAAAAAAAAACAATTAACTTCATCATGTTATCAAAAAAATTCTATTTATTCTTTATTGCCGCCGCTTTAGTATTTAGTGCAATTATTATCAACTCTGCACTTGCAATGCCCACTGAGCGTTCAAATAAACGTCAAGGTATAGTTTCATAATATTTTATGGTAAATGAAATTTTCAATTATGCAAGAACCAGATTATTAACAACAATCTATAATTTAAAAACTTTTTGAAATTAAGGTATTACCGAAAAGTAACAAACTATGCACAACGAAGAAAACTATTTATGATAATAATTATATTTAGATATATCATAGTTTCATCACTCGCGTAATTTAGACCAAGATTAACCGAAAAATATTGTTTCTTTGACCCACCTGAACCATTTTTATTTAAAAAAATTATAATTCTGACATATTATTTAATTTTCTGGTTATACGTATATAGACATACGTAATCATAATCCTGACTTAAAACCTTATATGACAAAGATCTTGTTATCGTTAATAATATTGTAATACTTACAAACCATTTTACTTCCCGTATTTATACATATTTAGAATAAAAATTTGTAAATTTTAACCGCTACTTACCGTTATGTACGTAAATCAAATCAAGACTAAGCCATTATAGTATCAAAAACCGCAAGGGATTAGTTAACGTTAATATAATGAATTGACCAAACCAAAATAGGATCAGAGACCGTATCACGCAATGTATGATTAATTAAAGATTAGATCTTTAGTTAAAGATTAGTAATATATTTGATCTACAAAACCTCAGAAATTTAATTTTGCAAATATAAGGGCTGTAAATTTATTGTTAACCTTTTTGAATATTAAAATAAGTTTTTTTCGTCAAAATTCATATAATTAACAATGTTCAGTAAAAAACATTTTGTCTTTACCAATATCCCAGACCTTTCGGGCAAAGTAAGTTGAAAAGTTCTCATGCCATGCTCAAAGATTACACGTTATTGTGATTTCTCATAAATAATAAATAATTCAGGTTGCAATAGTAACAGGTGCAAATACTGGTATAGGAATTGTGACCGCTAGAGAATTAGCCCGTAAAAATGCTCATGTGTTTGTTGCATGTCGTAGTAAAGAAAGAGGTGAATCGGCTGTAGAATTAATAAAGGAAGAAACAAACAACGATTCTGTCGAATTTTTGCAATTGGATCTACAAAGTTTAAACTCTGTTAAACATGCTGCTGAAACTTTTTTGGCTAGAAAATTACCATTACATATTTTGTGAGTAAAATTTTTTATATTTTTTATCTAATTAAAATTTTAATATAACTTTAATTACTTTATTCATAGAATTAATAATGCCGGTATTATGGCAACGTAAGTTTTTTTTCGTATTTTTCATGCTCAATTTATGTCATTATTCTAATCTTTATTTTCATATCAAAGCCCATTTGAACTGACCCAAGATGGCATTCAAGACCAGTTTGGTATTAATCATATTGGTCATTTTGTAAGTAAATGATCTTTTGAATTACTTCACCGATTTATCATTTAGCCGACATCATACTACATGATAATTAACAATATATACTTACAACTACGTAATAACATGTTAAATTGTCTCGTTATTTATGTCAGCTAAATGAAATGAAATGAACTGCACCAAATATCTTTTTTTTTTTAAAAAAAAAAGAGGTTAATACACCTATTATAAATTACAAAATAGCTTTTCACTCTCTTATTATTACCAACTATTAAAGCATCAGCTCCATCACGTATTGTCAATGTTAGCAGGTTAGTTAAATTTACTTTTTGTAACAATATAATCATTGTATTAAATTTATGATATTTTTATCATAATAGCATTGCTCATAAGCTTACACCACCGGGAGGAATAGAATTTGACAAATTGAATGATCCGAATGCTCACACTGCTTTTCAAAGATATGCTCAGTCGAAACTTGCAAATATTTTATTTACCATTGAACTTAATAAAAGACTTTCAGGAACAAACGTTTATTGTAATTGTGTTCATCCGGGTAAAAAAAAAAAAAATTCTATTTAATTATTTCAATTTAAGATTTCAATCTAATATTTCAATTAATATTTATAATAATTTATACTATTTAATGATATAACAACATTATAATGAAATTAGGTAGCATAAATACAGAATTATTCCGTGGAATTATTACTAATTGGGGTTATTGGATAAAACCATTTCTTTCTGTAGTTTCAATATTTTTATTAACACCTAATGATGGCGCATTAACTCAACTTTACTGTGCTACAAGTCCTGAAATTGAAGAACAAGATTATCGTGGAAAATATTTTGTACCTTTTGGTGTGTTAGGTGAAACTACTGATTTTGGTAAAGATGAAGAATTGGCTAAAAAATTATGGGATTTTTCGGAAAATCTTGTTAAAGAAAAGTTAGGTGATGACGTTCTTAGTAAATGTTTGGCATAAATTGTTCAATATTTGTAGTGCATTACTTTGTTGAATTGCGCTTTTGCATACTATTATTCGTCTTTTTTATATTACAGTTCATGCTTGCTAAGGTGAACTCTTATTATCAGTTGTTATGCTCCCTATACTGTTAAAAAAATGTCTGTATAAATAAATACAAAACCTAGGAACCAAACTAGTCGCTAAGGTTAATTACATAAATGGTTTTAATATATAAAGTGTTAACCAATAGCAATAAGAGAGATTATTTATTTTGTTAATATGATTCATTTTGGCCGATTTTTGAAAATATTCGAAAGCCATTTTTTTTTCTCCGATTCCTTTAAAATAACACTAGCCAACATTGCTTATCCCTGTAAGATAATTTTTATCTGTAGATATTAATAAATATTCGAAAGCGATCCTAATTCCATGTCGATAACAATAACCAACTCTATTCATTCCATGGGTATTCCTCATTATTAATACCATTTGAAAGCTTTTTTACTGCGATTTTCATTTTTGGCAAGAATAACAAACATTAGAAGTTCCATCAATATCATTCATCTTAGTAGCTTTTTTTCGTGTTGATAACAATCACCAACATTGTTAATTCCATGAGTATTCCTTATCTCTGCAGATTTTCGATACTATTTTGAAAGCTCTCTTTTCATCTTACCTGATTTAATTCCATTTCTTAGTTCAAATAATTCGTTTGAGTCCTCCATAAATAACTATCAAAAAATAAACTAATTTAAAATATATATTTGAATAACATTGCGCAAAATAGATTATCGGCATTATTCACATGACTTTTGACTATTTTTTTTTTTTTTGATCGGAAGTCATTATGCATGTTTATGCACAAATATTTATATATACGTATGCTAAAAAAAAACTTAATTTGAGTAATGAACAATAATGCAGGCTTTGCTTCACCGACTACTTATAAAAACATCAAACGATTTGAATCAAGCACAACAAGAATTAAAATGGTTAACGATTTATGTATTACAGCAAACTAAAAATCCTATTTTGAATAAATTAAACACTTCAATAATTTCTATCAATGAAATTATTAAAAATTTAAATGATAAAGAAAAATTACTTTTAAGTAAATATGTGAATGAAAGGGTTGATAAATCCAAACCATTACAGTATATACTAGGTTAGTATTTAATGAAAACAAATACAAATGTAATATGAAATACGTAGCACCTACTTATAACTTCTAACTGTTAGGAACTCAACCATTTTGTGATTTGGAAATAATCACAAAACCGCCTGTATTAATTCCAAGGTATCAATCTATTAACATGCTTTTTCAATTGATAAAATAAATACTATTAATAAAATACTAATTTTCAGATGGGAAACTGAAGAATGGACCAGTCGATTGATAGCTCTCTTGAAACCTCATTTTTCAACATCCACCACTAAATCTCCTTTTAAAATTATTGATATTTGTACAGGATCAGGTTGCATAGCATTGGCACTTTCAAATGCACTTCCACATAACTCATGTTATATTAATGGTGTGGATATTTCTAATGATGCACTTTCCCTTGCTAATTTAAATCTTTCAACAATAAGTTCTTGTAAAAAATTAAATAATCATGTTGAATTTTTTCATCTTGATATCATGAAGTCTACTGACGAACAAATTCATGAATTTATACGTAAGAACAATGGATATGATTTAGTTGTTTCTAATCCACCTTATATTTCTCATGATGAATATTTAACATTAGATGAAGATGTTAGATTATGGGAAGATAAATCGGCATTATTAGCTGATGAGAATGGTACAATATTTCATAGTAGAATCGCATATTTAACAACTAAATATTTGTTAAGAAAAAATAGTCCTTTTATTAATGTTTGGAAAAATAAGGTACCACAATTGGTTATTGAAATTGGAGGTAGTCATCAAATATTCAAGGTTGTCGAGCAATTAAAAAGAAATAATTTTAAATTTATAGATATCTGGAAAGATAGTGCTGGAAAAGATCGTTGTATTATTGCCAGTCTATAAAACTAACTTAATAATAAGCACATATATTACGCGCCATTTTCTAATTTGTTGATTGAAATGTGTCATTCATTGATTCATTGATTAGAAAGCAATATACATCACTTTGCAATCGATATGAATTAAAAAAATTATTATAGTGCAATTAACTTATGTCTAAATTATAAAATTAAACACGTAAACACATTTATGACGAGATTTTCATCTTGGGCTTCATCTTGAACATTTGCCATTGCATTTTATAAAAACTTAACTTTTTAAAATAAGCTATTTAATAGTGTTGATAATGTACTATCAAATGCAATAAGTATTTGTTTTAGCATTTTATTACTAACATTTAGCTTTATGAATATATTATACTAAATAAAATGCCAATATTGGCAAGATTTTAATTTAATAAGGGTCTAAAAAATTACCAATATTTAACTAATTTATTAGGTATTGTTACACCCAAACTACCTCTTATAATTCCGGTATAACTAAACTTACTTTAATGACGGACATGTTAGACGTTTGATAACAATTTCCATATTTATATTTAAGTAAAATATAAGGTTGATTGCAGTTACATTTTAAGAGAATTGTGTGATTTGCAATTACGAAAAAGACAAAACGGCTAAATGTATATGAAGATACGAGCAGTCGTATAAAAACTCTCTAATTTGTTCAATAAAAAACTCAAGCTATTGTGTATGAAGACACAACTATTCTTTATATATTATTGTTGAGTTGCTAAATGTTGATTCCCAGAGGATACCAGGTATTAGTTACAATTATAGAGGGAATGCATTTATAGAATTAGTATAGTTTAGAGTTGGTCACCGAAACCTTTTTGGCTAAATCCGAAAGTTTCAGGTTTCGGATTATAGTTTCCAAAACCTCATCCGAAACCCGAAACCTTATCCGAAATCCCGAAACCCTATTGGTATAATAAATTTCTATAAAATCAATAACAATAAATTAGAGGTCCTGGGTTAAACCAGTTTTTATAATACAAAATAGTTATAGATTGTATCTTTACAATAAATATATAAAGTGGATTAACTAACCTGACCTCTAAATTGTAAATGCTATAATGACTTTGA